TGAGTTTGACCAAGCTGCGGGAGGCAGTGGAAGACAGGAGTGCCTGGTGTGCTCTGTTCCATGGGGTCACGAAGAGTCGGACACGACTAAACGACTAAACAACAACATTACCTTCAGTAGCTTAGCGCATCATGAAACCTAAATCCGACCCTGTGTTTATGCAACATCCGAGGAGCTGGGGTGCCATAGGGCTCAGTTAGCCCTTTTAAAAAACAAAAAACAAAATAATTGTTATTTGATTTTACAAGTACTGTATAGAATTATAACAATACAAAAAATAATAATCCGTATTTAGAGATTTCTCTGAATCTCAGGGCTTCCCACCTTCCCCTCCATTGGTCCTATTGTCAACTTTTTCAACTGCATATTATTTAGTAATCCATATTTTATGTCTCTCCATTTCGCCCATAATATTTGCTACGTTACAAACGTTATTGCAATCCTCCTAATGTTTCCATCTGCTTACAGTGGTCTCCCAGGTAAATTATAGATCCCCCCCCCATTCTTTATTAAAGTTTTGGTCTTCTTGGTTCATGAGCTTTCCGGTCAGTTTTGCCATTTCGGTGTAGTGCATCAGCTTGGTTTTCCATTCCTCTCTGGTAGGGACCTTGTCTTCTTTCCATCTCTGGGCAAGTAGCATCCGTGCGGCTGTCGTCACATACATAAAAAATATTTCCTGCTTTGGAATCTCAGTCCCTACAGTCAGTTAGCCTTTTTGTGTGTGTAACCTTTGCCATGAAGAAGCTTATTCTCCTAATTTCTGCAAACCAAGGCCTTGGAGATCGATGCAAGGATATTGACAAAGTCTTGGGAGGTGTGTTTTGCTGGTCAGTGGGCAAGCCTATTAAGGGTTGGATTTTGCTGGTCAGGGAAGAGGTGACTCACGTCAAAGATCCTTCCCAGGAGCAGAGGTCAGATGATGAGCTCCTGGTTCCTTTCAGATTCATTAATCTTGTTTGGAAGGCTAGCAAGAGCAGATAATTCAGGGCACCTCAGTCGGCAGAGCATGAGACTACTGATCTCACGGTCGTGGGTCTGAGCCCCGTTTTGGGCGAAAGATTCCTGCGTTTGGACTAGATGACCATCGTGGTCCCTTCCAACTCTGCAATTCTATGAGATTCTATCATTCTTCCCTTGTTCTTGACTCCACTTCTTGGATTGCCCCGGGGCTCTCCTCGCCCCAACCTCCTCTTCTAAGCCCGTGTTTACAAAAACAGACATGACCTCATAAATCAACTATCGATGTCTTGCCAGTGGGAGCCATTTGGCGTGAGAATCCCAACAGAGAAGGAAAACAGGTTGTGTGAGGTTTATTTATTTTTTATTTTCTTATTTTCAGGTTCAGCCACAGAGGGCTCAGCTTGGGACTACAGTGGTACCTCGGGTTACAGACGCTTCAGGTTACAGACGCTTCAGGTTACAGACTCCGCTAACCCAGAAATAATGCTTCAGGTTAAGAACTTTGCTTCAGGATGAGAACAGAAATTGTGCTCCGGCGGCGTGGCGGCAGCGGGAGGCCCCATTCGCTGAAGTGGTGCTTCAGGTTAAGAACAGTTTCAGGTTAAGAACGGACCTCTAGACCTCCAAATAAAAGTACTTAACCCGAGGTACCACTGTACAACTTTTACGCTGCAGATTGAATATTGTGGAAGGCAGAGAGGTCAGCGGTCACTAGAAGAATCAGGGAAGAGTTGTGGTCCCCTGCTTGCTGCCTCTGTGATTTTACTTGGGTAGGAATACGGGTATTGCTGTTTGATTGCTCTTGCAGGATCAATCCTCCCCCTGCCCTCCCAGTTTTGAGAATGTTCTCTCCAAAGGGATATGAAAAGAGTTCATTCAAATAACACTTGTAGGGAGGGTTGCTAAATTCTGATTTAAAAAACCCCCAGAAACGGGCTCTCCAAGCAGGGACAGGATCTAGAGCTACATTTAAATTGGACGTTACTGGCTTTAGGATGAGGACAAGCAGTTTAAAAAATACTTCTCTATATTATTTTCAGCAATAACACACATCATTATGCAAGCTTTACCCTCGCAGGTACATTTTTATACATATAGTGGTACCTCGGGTTACAGACGCTTCAGGTTACAGACTCCGCTAACCCAGAAATATTACCTCAGGTTAAGAACTTTGCTTCAGGATGAGAACAGAAATCGTGCAGTGGCGGTGCGGCGGCAGCAGGAGGCCCCATTAGCTAATGTGGTACTTCAGGTTAAGAACATTTTCAGGTTAAGAACGGACCTCCAGAACGAATTAAGTTCTTAACCCGAGTTACCACTGAATTGCTTGGGTGGAGAATCGGACTGCAAAATTTGGAGAAGCGAATTTCAACGGATGGCTGTGTTTCAGTGTTTGCATACTGGTTTTAGGAAGTGTGAATTATGTAGGTTTGCCTTGAAATGTGAAATGAATCGAATTTCTCCCCAGTCCCTAGATGGAAACATTTCCCCAGTACTGTTAGAGTCTGATGGGACATAGTTTTATGGCTCAGGCTCATGAAATATTGGCTAGCGGTCAACCTTAACCTGCAAGTGATTTGCACAATATTCAGTTTCCAGAAAGCGAGATGTTGCGTCTCAAATGTACCTAGAAGCTCATATGAAGTATTGTACTCTGCGCATGCTCAGGAGCTAAGGTGGCACAATGGCTCAGTGCGTAACCAGAAGGTTGGTGGTTTGAGCGCACCCAGGAACAGCTGTGGGCAGGATTCCTGAATTGCAGGGGGGTTGGTGTATAAGATGATGTTTTTTCATAAATCTTTTTAGTCAAAAATTAGGGATTGTCTTACATACGGATGGTGAATCCACAGGGGTTCGGTTTCGGGTCTCAGGCGACCTCCAGAAAACTCAACAGCTTTGAACTTTGGCCAACTTCCCTCAAAAAAGTTCAACAACTTTGGGCGGCCTCCCTACAAAAAGCTTAGCGTTGTTCCATTTGATGTTTAAAATGTTGATTTCTTAAATTTGGGTTCAAAAAAATAGGGGCTGTCTTATACACGGGGGCATCTTATACACAGAAAAATACGGTATATCTAAATTTGCACCTATTTAAGGTAGCATATGAAAGTTACATGCAAATCTCAGTACCATTTCGTTCTCTTGTTTGGCGATGCATAAGGGACTACACTATCAGAAGCTCTTTTCTTTGTATGATTACATTAGATTTTGTAAGGCCAAACTGTAGCACTGCCGGCAAATGTTGGGGGACTGAGCCCTCGATCCTAGTATATCCCGCATTCATTTGGACAAAGCCGCAATATGATGTCTAGAATTTTACTTCCAGGCTTATGAATTCAACTCAGGGCTCTTAGCGAAAGAATATGAGTTCAAGGGTTTATGGATGCTTTAATGAATGCTTCTGGTTTGGGTAATGGTATGACAAAGGATTCACTAAAACAGTTATCCAGTACAGAAACATCCACTGAATTTAAAATGCCTTAACCAGAAAGGAAAGTTAAGCATATATATATATATATATATATATATATATATATATATATAGGCCCTGTTTTCCAGGGATTTACAGAAGCCGTCCCGGTTTCTGATTTGATTCCAGAATGACCCGCTTTTCCTTAGGACGTCCCTCTTTTCATCAGAGAAGTGTTGGAGGGTATAGAGTCATACAGCCCCTTGAGCCAAGGAGATAAGTAACTAGACAACCTATAGTGGACATCTGGAGGCAGCCCTGTATACGGAAGCTTTTTAATGTTTAATGTTTTTATAAGTATGTTGGAAGCCACCCAGAGTGGCTGGGATAACCCTGTCAGATGGGTGTGTTAGAAATGATATTATTATTATTATTGAATAGGACGTCCCTAGTTTCATCGGAGGAATGTTGGAGGGTATGGGGGACACCCACACACCTGTAGGTATTCAGAGGCATACAGCCTTTGACAGAAGAGTCAAGTACATAAGAGGTAAAGGTAAAGGACCCCTGGACAGTTAAGTCCAGTCAAAGGCAACTATGGGGTTGTGGCTCTCATCTCACTTTCAGGCCAAGGGAGCCGGCGTTTGTCCCCAGACAGCTTTCCGGGTCATGAGGCCAGCAGGACTAAACCACTTCTGGTGCAACGGGAACACCATGATGGAAGCCAGAGCTCACGGAAACGCCATTTACCTTTCCGCCACAGTGGTACCTATTTATCTACTTGTACTGGCGTGCTTTTGAACTGCTAGGTTGGCAGGAGCTGGGACAGAGCAACGGGAGCTCACTCCATTGCAGGGATTCGAACCACCAACCTTCTGATCAGCAAGCCCAAGAGGCTCAGTGGTTTAGACCACAGCGCCACCCGCATCCCTTTTGGCAAGTATACAGGCTGCACACACACAATACCTTTAAAGGGAATTTGAAACACATTTTCCCCCCTCAAAGAATTCTGGGTACTGTAGTTTCTTAAGGGTTGCTGGGCATTGTGGCTCTATGGGAGGTAAACTACGGTGCCCAGAATTCTTTGAAGGAAAGCAAGGGCTTCATACTCAGCCGGAACCATCACTGCTAGCAGTCCTTGTTAGCCTAACCCTCCATGTAGCAATTAAATTCACGAAGCAACTTGGGGTTTCTGTTCTGCAGCTTTGCTTAGACCACTCCTGAAGTCTTTGCGCTTCACTCTCCACCTAAGCTTTCAAACTTTTAGGTCACGCCCCAAATTTTTAAATATCTCCCCCTCTTTACCTGACTTCTCTTTCTTATCTTGTCCCCCTTTGGACTGGCTCGTGGATCCTTTTCTGAAAATGGAAGACGAAGGGTTTTCTTTACCGGGGCAATAAAAATAACTCCACTGTGTGAGAAGGAAACATTAAACCCTCCTTTTGTGTGCGTGTGTACATTTCTCTCCCGCCCCCTCCACACACAAAAAAAGTGCAGACAATGTTTCTTTAAAAGTCTCCATCTGCAGTTCCCATTAGATGCGCCTCTAAGGTTTCGGGTGATTAATAGCTTGCATGCTTGGCTTGGGTTGGAGGGGTTGTGCATGCAGGTTAAGCCCTCCCCCTCGCTCCTCTCTCACATTTCCCTTCCTAAGCTTGTCACTCACACCCCAGCAAAGTATTTAAAAAGTGTTTTCTGGGCTTCAGCACTTCACAGCAAGGAAGCTTCGGGCTTCAAACGCAACAGATGTGAAGTTTCTCCTGTGGAAGCTATGGAGAATTCTGCAGGGTTCCCCCTCACTGGCAAAGCCACGGCGGCAAGCTGGAGAGCTGTCTAGCTGCAGAGGACCGGTTTCTTTTCCTGGGCAAAAAGTTAGACCATCGGGCTCCCTTTGCAAGTGCGTTTGAAGAGCATCTTCAGAAACAAGGCACTCCTAGATGGAGCCACCTGCTGCCAGTAGCTGTATGAGAAACTCTCACCCTACCAATGCGCTCTGGGGTTGCCTGCGAAACCAGCATGCCGAGGCTGGAGGGACCACCGGGCCACACCATTACCCACAAGCCCCCTTTTCGTTCCACCACAAACCGGACTTTGGCATCTACTCGGACTTCTCCAACTCCTGCCTGGCTGCAGCCCCCCAGAGCCTTCCCCGCGACGAGCGAGCTTTCGACGAGCATCACTCTTCCTTCCAGCACCCAGCGTGGCATTTTGCAGCCGCAGAGGGTAGGCGACGTCTGGCGGCCGAGCTGGCTTTGGTCTCCGGAGAGCCAGAGGGCAGCGGCCCAAATGTGGTGGATGCCGCCATTGGCACGAGCGAAGACTACGTCCTGGCAGGGAACGTGGTGAGCGAAACGGAAAAGAAGACTTCCAGAAGGAAAAAAGGGAGTGCAGGTAAGATGGTGTTTAAGAATCCTATATTGGTAGAGTTACGTTTCCTCTGAAGGAGCAGGTTTGTAGATTGAGGGGTATTCCTGGGTCCTTTGCTGTCGCTCGTGGCTCAGGTGGCCTCAGTGGCCTGGAGTGCCTTCCGTCAGCTTCGGCTGGTGGCCCAGCTACGCCCCTATCTGGACTTTGTTTGTTTGCTTAGTCGTGTCCGACTCTTCGTGACCCCATGGACTAGAGCACGTCAGGCACTCCTGTCTTCCACTGCCTCCCATGGTTTGGTCAGACTCATGCTGGTAGCTTTGAGAACACTGTCCAACCATCTCGTCCTCTGTCGTCCCCTTCTCCTTGTGCCCTCCATCTTTCCCAACATCAGGGTCTTTTCCAGGGTCTTCTCATAAGGTGGCCAAAGTATTGGAGCCTCAGCTTCAGGATCTGCCTATCTGGACAGGGATAGCCTAACTACTGTTGTCTGTGCTCTGGTAACCTCGAGGTTAGATTACTGCAATGCGTTATATGCAGGGCTGCCTCTGAAGACGGTTCTGAAACTTCAGCTAGTGCAGAATTCAGCGGCCAGGTTGCTCACCGGAGCAAGACGGTTTGAACATATTACACCAATCCTGGTCCGACTGCACTGGCTACCAATTAGTTTTCGGCCCCAATTCAAAGTGCTGGTTTTGACCTATAAAGCCTTAAATGGCTCAGGACCGCAATAACTCAAGGACTGCCTCTTTCCATATGAACCTACCCAGACCCTGAGATCATCTTCTGTGGCCCTCCATTGTGTGCCCCTTCCCTGAGAGGTCCGGAGGGTGGCAACACAAGAACGGGGCCTTCTCTGCAGTGGCTCCCCATCCGTGGAATGCTCTCCCCAGGGAAGTTCACCTGGCGCCTTCATTATACACCTTTAGGCGCCAGGCAAAAACAGTCCTTTTTAACCAGGCCTTCAGTTGATCCGATTTTACAACCTATGCCCTTCTAAATTGTGGCTCTTGGGGGGGTGTATTATTGGGTTATTGTTTTTATTTTGAGTTTATATATTGTGATCTGTTTTGTGAACCGCCCTGAGACCTCCGGGTATGGGGCAGTATATTATTATTAATAATAATAATAATAATAATAATAATAATAATAATAATAGTTGGAAGGCACCCCAAGGGTCTTCTAGTCCAACCCCCTGCAATGCAGGAAACTCAGGTCCATGACAGATGGCCACCCGAACTCTGCTTAAAAATTTCCAAGGAAGCAGCCCCCAAGTATATAAATATCTATGTGTTAGTCCAGTTATGCATCACAGAAAAATGTGGACCACAAAAGGACAGATTTGCATAATTGACATGCATTTGCTAGTTTATATGTAGAAATGCAAGTTTAGAAATCATAGAATCATAGAGTTGGAATAGACCACAAGGGCCATCGAGTCCAACCCCCTGCCAAGCAGGAAACACCATCAGAGCACTCCTGACATATGGTTGTCAAGCCTCTGCTTAAAGACCTCCAAAGAAGGAGACTCCACCACACTCCTTGGCAGCAAATTCCACTGTCGAACAGCTCTTACTGTCAGGAAGTTCTTCCTAATGTTTAGGTGGAATCTTCTTTCTTGTAGTTTGGATCCATTGCTCCATGTCTGGAGCAGCAGAAAACAACCTTTCTCCCTCCTCTATATGACATCCTTTTATATATTTGAACATGGCTATCATATCACCCCTTAACCTCCTCTTCTCCAGGCTAAACATGCCCAGCTCCCTTAGCCGTTCCTCATAAGGCATCGTTTCCAGGCCTTTGACCTTTGATTACTGTGCTTTGAATAGAAATACATCTCACCCTGGCAGAGAAGACAGGGACCAGGTGCCCCATCTGCCTGCTCCATCTGCTGTCCACCTCAGCCCACAAACAGAGGAATTTGCCTCATACTGTCAGACCACTGGTCCAACTCATAGCTGTCAACTTTCAGATTTGAAAATAAGGGATCAGCAGCCTCACCTGTCCCGGGGACAGTCTACGGGATATCTAACAATCCGGGATAGCAGCAGGAAGCAGCGGGAAACGGCACTGGAATAAGGGAATTTCCTGCAAAAAAAGGGAAGGTTGACAGCTATGGTCCATCTAGCTCAGTACTGTATACAGTGTTTCAGACTTAGGTTCTCTCCCAGCTTTTCCTGAAGAGACCAGGGATCGAACCTGTGGCCTTCTGTTTGCAAGGTGTGTGTGATCTGCCACTGAGCCATGCCCTTTCCTCTGATTTCCCTTCCTGTAGTTCTTTATCTTTAAGGTGCCCTTGGACTGGACGGTCCTACAAAGAGAGGGCTGTCCTCTGTGAAGTAGGACACATGGCCACTCTAGTATCTGTTATTGATTTGTTTTCATCTGGTCCAGGAACCTTCCTTTCAAAAATAAAATAATTTTTAAAATTCATTTTTGCCTTTAACGATTACCATCGCAAATGAATCATAATCGTAAACACATAGGCTTCTCTGATTCCCCGGACTCCCTTCCACCCCTCGTTATTCTTTCCAAATGCATCTTATAATTGTGTCTATATTTTCTTAATACTCCCTTCTCACCATAGTTCTCGCTACATTGCAAGTGTTTTCTAAAATCCTGCCAGTGTTTTTAATTGTTTACACAGTGTTCTTTTAAGCCCCGTATTTTTCGCTCTATAAGACGCACCAGACCACGAGACGCACCTAGTTTTTGGAGGAGAAAAACAAGAAAACAAATATTCTGAATCTCAGAAGCCAGAACAGCAAGAGGGATCGCTGCGCAGTGAAAGCAGCAATCCCTCTTGCTGTTCTGGCTTCTGGGATAGCTGGGCAGCCTGCATTCGCTCCATAAGACGCACACACATTTCCCCTTACTTTTTAGGAGGGAAAAAGTGAGTCTTATAGAGCAAAAAATACGGTAACTTATAAATTTCCCCTCATTCTTTATTGAACTTGTTATCTTCTTGATTTTTGATCTTCCCGGTCATTTTCGCCACTTCAGCATAGTCCATCATCTTTGTCAGCCATTCTTCTCTTGTAGATACTTTATCTTCCTTCCATCTTTGGGCAGAAACCTTCCAAACAGTTCGGAATGTAGACAACAAACTCTCTGGCATATTAATCATGGTGATGATGAAAGGAAACAAGACATCATAGAACAGAGATTAAGCAAAACAAGTTGTGGGAAATGCACTGAAATGAATTCCAAGGTAGAGAACCCTCAGTCCTTCAGATTTTACTGGACTCCATCTCCCATCATTCCTGACTGCAGCTGATGGGAACTGGAGTCCAAGAATGTCTTGAGGGCTCCAGGTTCCCCCAGCCCTGGCCCATCATGGAACAACAAGATTTCAACAGGCCCATCTAAAAGCCAGTTGTTAAGTTGTGGGTGAACATATCAGACGACACAGCGATTCTTCAAACAGCTCTTGTTTATTCAGAGGCCAGAACAGAACTGACTGAAGGGCTCAGTCAGACTGCTTATATAGAGCTCCAGTACAATGTTACTGTAGCAACTTTCTAAAACTATCCAATCACTGAACGTCACTTTCGATCCTTCATTTGCATAACTATCTACAGTATCCCCCTGCTGGCCCAGGGTGAGAACTTCAGTACATAACACCAGTCATAAGAGGAGGTGGACTAACAAGCTTCTTGAGGGAAAGGGAATTCCATAATGTGGGTCCCCTACAGAAAAGGGCCCTTTCTGGCAGCCCAGACAGCCAATTGGATGGCAATGGGAAGCAGAGCAAGGCCTGCAGTGTCCAATGGACCACAGAGGGTGGGCCGGTTCCTGTGAGAGAAGGTGACCCTGCCCAGCTTTGGATTGGTGTCGATATTGGGTCAAAGTGACCGGGCACCTCTTCGCGACAAACTGAAACAATTCTGAAATGGATTTCAAATGTGATGGCTTCTCTCCCACCAAGAGTCTTGGAAAGTGTAACTCTGAGATTATGCTCAGGTGTCCTTTCTAGAAGATTCTAGAAAGGCGAATCTTCCTCTGTGAAATAGCCGCCATTGCAGATGTTGTTTCACATCATGGAGATGATCGCAACTGCAGATTTTGCAGACAAAGTCTAGTTAAAAGGCAACAATAATAAAGCACAGAGTTCGGCTTATGAGCCAAAGGAGCAAGAAAGGAAGGAAGGCGTTTAGATTATCTAAAATAAAAACATCCCTGATTCCCTCTGGAGATGAGAGTGTGATCATCTCCAGCCTGCAGTCATTACAAATAAGCTTCCCAGGTTGCAACTCAAAGATGGTGTGTAACGTCCTTTAAATGTCACATGTTTTCAGGAGACCATGCAACCTTGGCTGGCCCTCCCCTCTTTTCCCATTGGTTCCCTTCCTTGCCTACTCCCTGTGCCTCCTTTGGGACGGAATCAGATTCCTGCTTGCTATAGCAGGCCCAGGAAGAGCGTGGGCAAGGGGACTAATGGCTGAGGAACCAGGTGCTGCTGGGCTAAAAAGTCCCATCTTCGCTGACCATTGGCCATGCGAGCTGGGGCTGATGGGAATTGGAGTCCATCAACATCTGGAGGGTTGCAAAGCTTCCCCATCCCTGGGATAATCCATCAGGAGGACCAACAGCTGCACCATCCTACAAAGCCTCGTGAATCATCCCCACCGGAATATGAGACATCCCTAGACCACAACTTGGCAACTCTAGTTACAGTACTCAACGCACACAGATAGATGCTGAGGTTCGAGCATGCCTTGAAAACATGCCCTCTGGCCTGGAAGTTCTGCCTGGCAGGACAGGCAAAATGCTCAAGCAATGCATTAGACGCCCTATCAGAATTGCGTAGGTCTGTTGAATGACGGCATCTGTCTTAGCTACATGCACAACCACACCTTGCCCCATAGGCTTTGAAACAATGCACAAGGAAGCACACGTCTAGCTTGGAGGCAAGGAACCTGGTTCTTTCAGGGCAGACAAGACATTATCTCTTCTGCTGGCATCCAGTGAAGGCCCTGCAGAGCTGCTGCCAGTCAGAATAGGTGCTATAGGGAAAGGCTGGCATGAACCTTGGGGAGCCCTGGCAGGACCCGCTGGCATTGCTGCCCTCACACCATCATAAAAACATGGGCAAACTCTTCCCTCCCCTAAATAAGCAAAAGCTCTTTGAGGTGAATTTTCATTACTCTGGGAGAATAACACCAGGTAACTGAAAATAATAACAACCACCACATCATAGTAGTAATAAAATAACAGTTTAAGACAGTGGTTCTCAAAGGGTGTGGCATACCACACAGATGGCAGGAGAGGATGGCAAGTGTGGCAGGAAAATTCATCAGTACAGTGGTTCCTCAGGTTACATACGCTTCAGGTTACATACGCTTCAGGTTACAGACTCCGCTAACCCAGAAACAGTACTTCAGGTTAAGAACTTTGCTTCCGGATGAGAACAGAAATCGGGCTCCGGCGGCATGGCAGCAGCAGAAGGCTCCATTAGCTAAAGTGGTGCTTCAGGTTAAGAACAGTTTCAGATTAAGTATGGACCTTCGGAACGAATTAAGTACTTAACCAGAGGTACCACTGTATTATATTTTGGGAATGATTTGTGTTCTTACGTGGCTGCGTTGTTTTATACAGTGGTACCTCGGGTTACAGACGCTTCAGGTTACAGACTCCGCTAACCCAGAAATAGTACCTCGGGTTAAGAACTTTGCTTCAGGATAAGAACAGAAATCGTGCAGCGGCAGTGGGAGGCCCCATTAGCTAACGTGGTACCTCAGGTTAAGAACAGTTTCAGGTTAAGAACGGACCTCCAGAATGAATTAAGTTCTTAACCCCAGGTACCACTGTACTTTCTGGGTGTCCCACGATCATATTATAAAGTCGTTGTGTTCCAGCATGTGCTAAGAGTTGCTTCTTTTTCTTTCCCAAAAAGAAAACTGGTGTGCTGTGAGCAAATGTTTATTCTGAAAGTGTGGGCCAGAGAAAAAAAGTTTGAGAACCACTGGTTTAAGACAACAAATCTGAGTAGGCCTACGAGCAGGTAAATATATTGTTCTCTAGCAGCAAAAATAGCAGCTGGTTTTTGTGTGTGTGTGCAGGAAAGAAGTCAGAGAAATGCTACAGGAAGGAAGGGGAACCTATTTTCTCAGGTTCTGTTGCTCCAGTTCAATTCAGACCCTGGCCTCCTGGCAATGCACAGACACCTGGTTTAAAATAGAATATCAGGAGACCCAAACATAAATCCTTCATTCAATCATAGGTTTTCCCACACCAAATGTACAGTAGTTAGAACACAATATGCCCTCACAAATGAGAAGTGGCTCAGGAATCTTGCAGTGGCAGGTGACTGACGTCCCCACAGTGCCCTGGGCCAGCACAGGATTCGGGCATTGCGGGGCTGCATGAATGGCACCGGGTGGGGGCAGATTATTCGCCACGTTCGTTGATGCTACTGCTGCTCACGCCCACCATCACTGTTGGGAAGCCTGTTGGCTTCAGTGGGGTCACTGTGGAATGGCTGGGGCCTCCCTCACACCTGGCACTGTCCGTGAATTAGGTCTGGTATAAGGCAGTGTTCTTTGTTCCTTCCTAAATTCAATCCTTCCTCCTGGATGGAAAATGCATGCAGTCATTTTCAGGGGATTTGAAGGCTAGATAGCATGAGCGGTCATATCGTTTAATCCAGACTTGTACTGCGGGCCAGGAAAATACAGCCAGCAGCTCCCTGTGAGGCCCAAAAATGTTGCGGCTGAGAGGACGGTTTAGGCAGAAATCCCAGCCCACATCCAGGACCTGCATTATGTTAGAGGAGTGTTCTGCAGACAAGAGAGTTGCTTGACACTGAGCTTGCTTTTGGGTCTCCCCTAGGCTTGGCTCTAGATGAGCGGTTCTCAACCAGTGGGTCCCCAGATGTTGTTGGACTACAACTCCCATCACCCCTGAGCTTTGGCCTTGCTAGCTAGGGGTGATGGGAGTTGTAGTCCAACAACATCTGGGGACCCAGAGGTTGAGAACGGCTGCTCTAGATGGACCACTGGCTTGATCTAGCAGGCTTTTCTCGTGGTTGAGTTTGAGTTTGAGACCGATCCTGTTCTGGACACTGAGGTTTGGTTCTGTGGGATGGGTTGAATAGGTAGGAGAGGATATATGAATTGCAGTTTATCCCTCCAAGCACCCATGTGTGTTGGGTTGAACAGACTTTCAAAATCCTGTCCTTGGCAGCAAAACCAGAAGCCTAGGAATTAGGCTGCAAAGCCTCCTTTGAGCAAATCTAGCTACAAAGCAAGCTGGCTTCCCCCTCCTTACAAAGATTGAGAATGAATCAGGCAACAATCTGGGGAGCAAGTTCAAAAATATGATTTGCTTGCTCTATAATGATGCATTGGTCCACAGCAAAGGCAGCAGTAAAAACTATGCAGGCAAAATACATACATTTGCAGCATAACCAGTCGTAGGGAAGTGCCTAGGACTGAAGTACGTGCGAGAGAGGAAGAGGAAGTACTCTGTGCTCCTTCCTCTCCAGGAGAGAGGGGAAATGACACCACACAGAACCCTCTCTAGCAATCACATCTCTATGGTCTGAGTATCTGCCTATCAGCAATACAGCTCTGTGGATTTAACCCCTTCTTATGCTAACTAGCAAGAATACACATTCTTGCTAGTTAGCATAAGGTTTGGCTGCTAATCTTCCACAGGTTTTGGAATATGTGCAATCCTGATGATGAAGAAAATGTATCGAGCTATAGAAGAGGGCCCTTCCCTCATCACCAAACATACCAGAGTGAATTCCCCATATGAGAGCTGCATACTTGGGGACTGAGAAGGTGGACTACTAAACCCACCTTCTTCCCGCTCTTTAACCATCTTGATTTGCTGGCTAAGACAGGAATGAGGAACCTGTGTCTGGACTATAAGTGCCATCATCCCTGGCCACTGGCCATGCCGGCTGGAGCTGATGGGATGTTAAGCCTGTTAAATTCAATAGGACTACTCTGGGTAAAATTTAGCTGCATGCTACTCCCTGTTTTCCACCTAGAGACCCTACCAATGAACTGGGAATGCTTGATCTTTGCATTTCTTTCATTATTTAATAATGTATTTATTGGATCTGTATCCTGCCCTTCATCCAAAGATCACAGCATAAAAATACAAAACGAGAACACAAAATACATAATAAAAACAAGAACAGAAACCAACAAATATCCCCCACACAAATACATGTAAAATGACATAGAAGGTTAATTGGCCAAAGGCCTGTTTATAGGGTAACATTTTCACCTGGCGCCTAAAGATATGTAATGAATTCGCCAGGCGAGCCTCTCTGGGGAGAGCATCTCACAAATGGGGAGCCACTGCAGAAAAGGTCCCTTCTTGTGTTGCCGCCCTTCAGACCTCTCGTGGAGGAGGCATGCGAAGGAGGTCCTCAGGTGATGGTCGCAGGGTTTGGGTTGGTTCATATGGAGAGAGGCGGTGCTTCAGGTATTGCGGTTCTTGAATCATGCCAACTCTCTTTCCCCTAAAGGTAAAGGTAGTCCTGATCGTTAGGTCCTGTTGCGGATGACTCTGGGGTTGCGCGCTCATCTCGCTCTATAGGCCGAGGGAGCCAGCGTTTGTCCGCAGACAGCTTCCGGGTCTTGTGGCCAGCATGACTAAGCCGCTTCTGGCGAACCAGAGCAGCGCACGGAAATGCCGTTTGCCTTCCCGCCGGAGCAGTACATATTTATCTACTTGCACTTTTTCAAACTGCTAGGTGGGCAGGAGCTGGGGCCGAACAACGGATGCTAAGCCCGTTATGAGGATTCGAACTGCCAACCTTCTGATCGGCAAGCTCTAGGCTCAGTGGTTTAGACCACAGCGCCACCCGCGTCCCTCTCTTTCCCCTAGTGGGCTCAATTTGCTTCCACGAGGAATGTTTCTGTCCTTTCCCTCTTCCAGAAAGCCAGGACACAGGTGGCGGGGGCAGCAGCAGCACAAAAGCAGAAGTCAGCAGCTCCAAAGCAAGGAAGGAACGCACCGCTTTCACCAAGGACCAGTTGCGGGAGCTGGAGGCGGAATTTGCACACCACAACTACCTGACGAGGCTCCGGAGATACGAGATTGCGGTGAACCTCGACTTGACGGAAAGACAGGTGAAGCTCCTCTGCTCCAGCGGCCCCTTGGGGCTGGGCAGCCTCCTCTCCAGCTTTGGGCAACGATGCCTGGAGACAATGGTGGAGAGAAGAGGGAAAATATTGGGAGAATGTTCATTTGCTACCTGCTCTAGTACAGTGGTACCTCGGGTTAAGAACTTAATTCGTTCTGGAGGTCCGTTCTTAATCTGAAACAGTTCTTAACCTGAAGCACCACTTTAGCTAATGGGGCCTCCCACTGCCGCCATGCCGCCAGAGACGATTTCTGTTCTCATCCTGAGGTAAAGTTCTTAATCCGAGGTACTATTTCTGGGTTAGCGGAGTCTGTAACCTGAAGTGTAGGTAACCTGAAGTATCTGTAACCCGAGGTACCACTGTACACTGATTCATTTACCAAAAACAAAAAAAACAAACCGCACAATCACAAGGCCTATTCACCCAATACAACACCTTAATAATAATAATAATAATAATAATATATAATAATAATACCCCACCCACCTGGCTGGGTTTCCCCAGCCACCCTGGGCAGCTCCAACAGAATATATAAAAAAGCGACAAAACATCAAACATTAAAAACTTCCCTAAACAGGGCTGCCTTCAGACGTCTTCTAAAAGTCAGATAGTTGTTTATGTCCTTGACATCTGATGGGAGGGCGTTCCACAGGGCGGGCGCCACTACCGAGAAGGCCCTCGGCCTGGTTCCCTGCAACCTTACTTCTCGCAGTGAGGGAACCGCCAGAAGGCCCTCAGTGCTGGACCTCAGTGGGGGTGGAGACGCTCCTTCAGGTATACTGGGCCGAGGCCGTTTAGGGCTTTAAAGGTCAGCACCAACACTTTGAATTGTGCTTGGAAACGTACTGGGAGCCAATGTAGGTCTTTCAGGGCCTGTGTTATATGGTCTTGAAGACCACTCCTATATAGAATCACAGAGCTGAAAATGGGAATAGGTGAATCTGTGAATTTCAGGTCTGCTCTTTTTCTCATTTCACCAGCCTTAAACTCAGTTCTCCACATTTGCATCTTACTTGGGAGTTCAGTTCCCAGTGTTCCACATATTCACAAAAACGGCATGTACCCAAAGCCTTTGAGCTGCCCCCAAGGCTAGTGGCTGAGGGGAAGAGAGGGAATCCTCAGTGCTTCCAAGCTCTCTGCCTTGTTTGCATTTACAGTGGTACCTCCAGTTGCAGACTGGATCCGTTCCAGAGGTCCAGTCGGATCCTGAGGTTTCTGCAATCTGAGGACCACTTCTGTGCATGTGCAGACTGCTTCTGCACATGCACGCATGGCGAAACCCAGTAAAATACTTCCGGGTTTGCTGCGCCGCATCCCGAAGTTTACAGAACCAGAGGGTTACGTAAACAGAGGCACGACTGTAATTGGCACAATTACAACCAGTCTGTCTTCAACCGTGTATGGTTGAAATGGCGCAGGTTAAACAAGTGTACAGTGGTACCTCAGGTTATGTACTTAATTCGTTCTGGAGGTCCGTTCTTAACCTGAAGCACCACTTTAGCTAATGGGGCCTCCCACTGCCGCTGCACGATTTCTGTTCTCATCCTGAAGCAAAGTTCTTAACCCGAGGTAATATTTCTGGGTTAGCGGAGTCTGTAACCTGAAGTGCATGGAACCTGAAGCATATGTAACCCGAGGTACCACTGTAAATTCAACAGCATTTCAGTGCAGATTTCTCTCAATACGAACATTCTTGCAAGCAATTTCCCTTAATGTGATGCATGATTTATATTCACTAATACAGTGGTACCTTGGTAGTTGAACGGCTTGGCTCCCAAGCAAATCAGCTCCCAAACACTGCAGACCCAGAATTGCAAACTTTTTCCAGAAGCCGGACGTCTGATGCAGCTTCCAATTGAGTGCAGGAAGTTCCTGCAGCCAATCGGAAACCGTGCCTTGGTTTTGTTTTTTTTAATAATTTTTTTATTAAAGTTTCCAAAGTTTTTTATAACAACAAAACAGAACAATACAATAAAACAAACAAACAAAAGAATAAAAAACAAGTATAATTTCAACCCTTATTTTCTTATAAGTTACTTCCCCGACTTCCTCATACCTCCCCTTTCTGTATTCCAATTTCTACCGTGCCTTGGTTTTTGAACCTTTTCAGGAGTCGAACGGACTCCCAGAACGGATTAAATTCAAGAAGCAAGGTACCACTGTACATGCATTCTTATGCACACTCGACCCTAGCAGGTGCAAATTTTTTTGCACATGTGGCTAGAGAACCGCATTGCAAAATTCAGAAAAGTGTGAATTTGCAAGGGCTGTGTTTTGCATGCGTGCAAGCTCACCTTAAGCCTCTCCCTCTTCTTGCACAGGTCAAAGTGTGGTTTCAGAACCGCAGGATGAAATGGAAACGTGTGAAAGGTGGGCAGCCGGTGTCACCCCAGGACCACAGCCTAGAAGACATGGACTCAGCTGCTTCTCCAAGCTCAGAGTAGCCCTGTACACAGTGTCTCAGAAGGCCTGGACCAATCTCTTGGCATCATCATAGCCCAGATTGTCTGCTCTCTCCTTAAGGCTTTGCAAGAGTTGGCTGAAGAAGGAGCAGTTTCGGAAGAGACTTGGCCTTGCTTTCCCAGGTAGATCTGGGCTCTCTCCTTCCCTCTTATCTCTGACGGAATTGCTTTTCACAAGCCACCAACAAGGGAAATCAAGGCATGGATGGCATCCCAATCATTCTAACGCTGCAGACATGACACTGTTAGAACCATGAAGCGAACATGTACGTTGTGTTTGCTCCCAACTTAGCATCCCTCTCCAGGATCACATTCTGGAAAACAGCAACAAGCCGACGTTTCGAGTTTGCAGCAGAAGCAGGCTAGACCACCCAGGAGGTCACCGAAAAAATCTTACAGCCGGTCTCTCAAGCTCCCCAGAAGAAAAAGTGTGCATATAGAATTGCCTTAGGCAGTTTCAAATCCCACTGCGAAGTGTTATAGATCGCCCCAGTACTATATTATCTTCCGCCATTAAAAGAAATAAAATGATCAGTCCTTGCCAAGGGCTGGACAAGAATCTGCACTCCCAGAATATGTCAAGAATTGCCACTTTCTTGCCTATGATTAATAGGCTGCTTTGTTGCTTGGAAGTGTGTGCTGTGAATTTTGATCCCTGCTGCTCACCGCACCTCCCTGCAAAAACCAGTTGAAGAGCTCAGATGTCTCTCAGTAATTACGGGGCAGCTTCAGTGGTGCCTTGGTTCTCAAACTTAATCTGTTCCGGAAGTCCGTTCCAAAACCAAAGTGTTCCAAAACCAAGGCGCGCTTCCCCATAGAAAGTAATGCAAACGGTTTAATCCGTTCCAGACTTTTAAAAACAACCCCTAAAATAGCAATTTAACATGAATTTTACTATCTAACGAGACCATTGATCCATAAAATGAAAGCAATAATCAATGTGCTTATTAAATAAGATGGTATTGTAGATGATAAAAAATAAAATTATTATTATTTTCTTACCTGCACTGATGATAGTCATTGTTTGGATGGGGGGCTTTTATCCATTTCCACAGCCATACAATCAGTCAATCAGTAGCTGAACTGGGTTCCACACAGTCACAAAAACAAATTAACCGAAAAAGCCTCAAAAACAAAACAAAAAAAACGCAAAATAAATAGCAAAAACAAAAGTGCCAAACTTAATCCATTCCGGATGTCCGTTTGACTTCTGAAATGTTCGAAAACCAAGACGAAGCTTCTGATTGGTGCAGGCGCCCCAGAAACAATAGACAACAGCTGCATTGGACGTTCGGCTTCCGAAAAACGTTCATATACTGGAACACTTACTTCCGGATTTTCGGTGTTTGGGAACCAAGGCATTTGACAACCAAGGTACCACTGTACTTGGTTGTGCAACAGTTCTGCAGATTTGGGGGACTTTGCATTCTGATTCCTTCTCTTGGTGGTCCAGGCCTTTCCCTGCTTCTAACATAAAACTGACGTCTATATATAGGAGATGACACTGTACTGATAAATTATAAAAAGGAGGATTGGGTTTGTTCATAGGTGTCTGTGGCCTGCTTCTGTTTGTGACATCAGCTGGCCAGTGCGGGGGTCCCTCTAGGCTGGTGTTTTACCGCGGTTGTATTCTGCAATACATTTCTGACACAAGGATAGTGTGCTACACAATCATAGAATTGCCAAGCTGGAAGGGGTCCCAAAGGTCATCTAGGCCAACCCCCTGCACTGCAGGAAATTGCAGCTAATGAGCGGTGGGTTTATTCTGCTCTAGTTTGTTCCGGCGATGCTTCCCCAATGCTATGACGCTATCCCTGTCCAGAAGGGGCTATAGGGCAACAAAAGCGGAAGAAAAAGTAAACTAGAAAGTTTGCGGTGTTAAAAGTTGTGGGATTTCCGCAGTGTGACTGCCCAGTGCTGGATTTATGTATAAGCTAAGCAAGCTATAGCTTAGGGCCCCACTCTCTTGGGGCCCCCCAAAAAATTAAAGGAAAAACAACTGGATGTACATTTCCAAAATATAAGATAAAAAACAAATCAAATAAAACTGACATACAGCAACAGTGTTTTGTGTTGTGTAGGCTCCTATGATGTAAGTAATGGGCCCCGCCTGCTAGCCTGCTCCCTAAAATATCACTAGTTTGCTCATTTCTAACAGTGACAATTTGTTGTTGACAAAGGACAACTGGATATATAAAGGGCCCCGTTACCTTCAGTAGCTTAGGGCCTCATCAAACCTAAATCCGGCCCTGTGACTGCCCCAAAACTTCTGCAGGCCCAAACAGTATTGAAAGCAGGATTGCGTGTAATAATAGCATCGTGCACACAGACCATGTAAAGTAAAGGTAAAGGGACCCCTGACCATTAGGTCCAGTTGCGGCCAACTCTGGGGTTGCAGCACTCATCTCGCTTTAATGGGCGAGGGAGCCGGCGTATAGCTTCCAAGTCATGTGACCAGCATGACTAAGCCGCTTCTGGAGAACCAGAGCAGCGCACGGAAACGCCGTTTACCTTCCCGCCGAAGCGGTACCTATTTATCTACTTGCACTTTGACGTGCTTTCGAACTGCTAGGTTGGCAGAAGCAGGGACCGAGCAATGGGAGCTCACCCCGTGGCGGGGATTCGAACCTCCTACCTTCTGATTAGCAAGTCCTAGGCTCTGTGGTTTAACCCACAGCGCCACCCACGCCCCAAGTCCCTCACACAGATCATGAGTGCACCGTAAAAAGGATGTCTGGAGGGGCCCTGGCTATTTCTGTTTAAGTGCAGAGAACTTGTCACATCTTTGAATTTGTCGTGCCATTTGCTGATTCGGATGCTGCTTTAGTCTTGCCACATAACAGATCACTTTGTTGCACCTCCACCAGTCTGCTTGTCAGAAGGCTTAAAAATAAAATAAAATAAAACCTAGCTTGCTGGCCACGGGGGACCACCGGAGAGAGAAAACCGGACCATCTGCAGCTCGCTCTTGTTGCTTGCATGGCATCGGAAAACCAGAACCGTCCCTGGTCAACGTCAGCCAGGGGTAGGTACGTGTTGCGCACGGAAGGAGCAGCAGGAAAGTGCTTAGTCGGCAAATAGCGTGGGATGACTCATGCAAGCAGAGATGGGATTGGGAAGCCAATAAGCCCCAAGGGTCACTGCTAGCTTGACCCAGGAGGAAATTACTTCCTGACCACAGAAGCATGTCAGCCCTGGAGCATGAGCAAAGCAAATTTGCGGGGGGGGGGGGGGGGAGGAAATGTAATGGGGTGAGTGCTTTGCGTACTACCAAAACCTGTCTCTTGTTGTAGCAGCCGCAGGATGCTCCGGGGATAGTCAAGGTGGTGCCTCCATATACTATAATAATAATAATAGTAATAATTTATTATTTATACCCCGCCCATCTGGGTGGGTATCCCGAGCCACTCTGGGCGGCTTCCAACAGAATATTAAAATACAATGACCTATTAAACATTAAAAGCTTCCCTAAACAGGTCTGCCTTCAGATGTCTTCTAAAAGTCATATAGTTGTCTTTCTCTTTGACATCTGGTGGGAGGGTGTTCCACAGCGCGGGTGTCACTACCGAGAAGGCCCTCTGCCTGGTTACCTGTAATTTGGCTTCTCGCAGTGAGAGAACCACCAGAAGGCCCTCGGTGCTGGACCTCACTGTCCGGGCAGAACAATGGGGGTGGAGACGCTCCTTCAGGTATACTGGACCGAGGCCGTTTAGGGCTTTAAAAGTCAGCACCAACACTTTGAATTGTGCTTGGAAACGTACTGGGAGCCAGTGTAGGTCTTTCAAGACCGGTGTTATGTGGTCTCAGTGGCCGCCCCCAGTCACCAGTCTAGCTGCTGCATACTGGATTAGTTGTAGTTTCCAGGTCACCTTCAAAGGTAGCCCCACATAGAGCGCATTGCAGTAGTCCAAGTGAGAGATAACCAGAGCATGCACTCCAAGTCCCACCAGCCTTTAGCCAGCGCAGCTGTAAATGCAATAAAACACAATATATCCCACCTTTCCCCACAAGGAGCTTAAGGTGGCGTACAAAGAATTGCAGGGGGACCCGGAGGGTCATCCAGACTGACCCCCTGCAATGCAGGAGTCTTGGCTCATTCCTGGCGCTCCTCCTGCAATCCCCACAACAACCTTGTGAGGCTGATCAGGCTGAGAGGCCATGACTGGCTCAAGGTCACCCAGTGAGCTTCAGGGCCGAGTGGAGATTTGAACCCTGATCTCCCAAGGCCTTTGTCTGACACGCCAAACACTACACTGTGATGGGAATTTTGAGGCCTTAGATGTATGTTAAATGTTCATAAGTGTACCAAGCAAACACGTACATAGATATATAAACCACATGTCTGAAAACCCCACAGGAAAAAAGTCCTGAACAAATTGACCTCAATTATTTCTCTGCAAGGTCCAAGTAGGAAACCTCCCCATTGTCTTTTTCCTTCACATATCCTGTCTTAAGGGCACATTTAAGATATGAATTGGGATGCGGATGGCGCTGTGGGTTAAACCACAGAGCCTAGTGCCTGCCGATCAGAAGGTCGGTGGTTTGAATCCCTGCGACGGGGTGAGCTCCCGTTGCTCAGTCCCTGCTCCTGCCAACCTAGCAGTTCAAAAGCACGGCAAAGTGCAAGTAGATAAATTACCTCCAGCGGGAAGGTAAACGGCGTTTCCGTCCGCCGCTCTGGTTTGCCAGAACCGGCTTAGTCATGCTGGACACATGACCCAGAAGCTGTACCAATCGGCCAATAAAGCGAGATGAGCGCCGCAACCCCAGAGTCTTCCGCGACTGGACCTAATGGTCAGGAGTACCTTTACCCTTTACCTTTAAGATATGAATAGGGTGTGAGCCTGTGACCTGGCCCAGGAACTAAGTATTTATCATTACAAAAGACTGGCCAGGCTCCCCAAGCAATCCAATCAAGTAAGCAGGGTATCCAATCAAGTAACCTGCCAGACAGGAGATAAACAACATTCAAATTTCTGTTTTAGACCACTTTTTCTGTGATGTAGGTATCTGGGGGGTGGTCTTAGGTTACACCCCTTCTGTGATGTATGTATGATGTATGGAGGGGTGGTCTTGAACTCTAGGGCAGGGAATTTAAAATGCCTATATAGGCCTTGCGCGCCATTGTTCTGGGTTCCTCCTCCTTTCCTGCGGTGTGAGGGGAGCACCCTGTTGCAACAGATCAATAAAGATCAGGCTTACTAGCTGCTTTGCTTCTCAATATTCTCTGGTTGGCCTCTGTTATTTTCTCCTACCAATAAAGAACCTACGTAAGGACTCTATGGGGTCTTGGATACCCCATAAGGGAAAAGGGGCGGATTTTGTTTACAACAACACCATGCTGGCTCTCAGAGGTACATCATTACCTGGAGGGCACCACGTTGGCAACCTCTGCTCTAAAGGAAAGCGAGGGGGTGGAATGCTAGGGCTTAATCTGAGCCAGAGCTCATCCCCATCTTCTGTTTTCAGGCTGGGACTGAGCCCTGAGAACTTCGCATTACTGCCAGTTCGACAACTGAAAAGCGACTCTGCCAATTTTTCTTCGATCCTTTGCCCAATAGGCAAGAACGCTTC